TTTTACTTCACATGAAACATGCAAATCACTGAATTTATTTTTTGGAGTATCTCAGGAACATAATGACATATCACGTTAATTTCTGTCATGCATATTCTTTCCGTAACCCGTGTATTAGCGTGATGAAATAAATTTGTGTGTGACACTTCATTCTTATTCTTCTAGATTTATGACCAATGTATGGGCCATGTTTGCTGTGGTGTTCCTTGCTATATACACTGCCAATTTGGCAGCCTTCATGATAACACGCGAAGAATTCCACGAGTTTTCAGGCCTCGATGATTCTAGGGTTGGTAACATTGCATAATCTTTTAATACATAAGTGACTAACAATATTTAAAGGGACAAATAATTAACAATCATGATGTTGTTCTTCTGGGTTCATTAGTAGACACCAACATTTAAGAGAAAAATAGGTGTCTACTTAGGAGTTTACAAAACTTCACATCCAGAAAGACAACATCTACGTCTTTGCTGCTGTAAGAATCTCAAATATCTTATAACCAGCATAATAATACGTTGTTTCTTCAGGTTGAGTGATGAAGTACTGACATAATACAGACCACAATTGTACTTCTAAAATATAACAATGGATCCCAACAATTCATATACATTTATTCATGACTAGTTTTCCTTGTTTTATAATAATGACTTCCAAATAATGAAGCTACAGTTTTCTTCAGTATATTTTTCCATTATTTATATCAGTTTCTGTTAATGTTTATGTAAAACTGAAAAATAGTATTATTACTTACAGACAGAAAAGTAATAAGTTTCTGTAACAGTGACAAATTTTACATCACAATCAAAAGATTTGTTAACGTGTTGATATTATTTTCCCAGCTGTCAAAACCTTTCAGTCATAAGCCGATGTACAGGTTTGGAACCATCCCTTGGAGCCACACAGACTCCACACTCGGCAAATACTTCAAGACGATGCACTCTTATATGAGGAACCAGAACCGTTCCACTGTTGCCGAAGGAATAGAAGCTGTGCTTAGTGGGTATGTTGACTGCTAAGAACAGAAACTATAGCCGTGTTCACACCATTTCATTCATGTGCTGGAGAGAGGAAATCATAACTCAGAATTTGTTCAGTGGGAAAGTGTTGTAGTTTAATGTTTCTAGCTAGGATTCAAAAGTGCAGTCATGTGTGTGGAGTTGCAGCAGAATATTCTCTTTCATTTAGCTTTGTATTGCTGCAGCACTTATATTAAGTAGTACGGAGTTTATCTCGCAACAGTTCAGTCTCATTTTGTTTAGACATATGCATCCGCGTTTATGTTTAAGACATTATCAATTGTCTTGTAGCAGTAGATTATGATTTTTATTTGTCTTTTCACAAATTTATCAATATTGATATTTAATACTGTACTATTTCCTTATAGAAAGATATTCTCATTTTATTGAGCTTTGTAATTATATGACAATGTTTACATTTAAGGGCATAGATATTATTTTTTAACAGTACATTCTCATTTTTCATAACTTTGTACTTGTGTATGAAAACTTGTACTAATAATATAGTGATTATAATACTAGTTATTGTAGATTATGCATAGTTAGATGAGTTGAGTCATTGTAAATATAAGGTAGCTGTTGAAACACCTTTATAAGTACAACAGAATGTTACTACTTGTTGTGCAATTATTTTCGTACTTTCCTGAACAGGGAATTGGATGCTTTCATATATGATGGCACAGTACTGGACTACCTGGTGGCACAAGATGAGGACTGCCGCCTACTCACTGTAGGGTCTTGGTATGCTATGACTGGATATGGACTTGCTTTCAACCGCAACTCAAAATATGTGCAGATGTTTAGTAAGAGGTTGCTCGACTTCCGGGAAAATGGTATGTATATATCAGTTACTAGTTCAGTCAGGTTTTTCACAAAATAAACTGTACTGAAATGATGGAATAGCTTATTTCTTTTGTACACATCTGTGCTACACTCTTACTTAAAGCTCAGGTGTAAGGCCAGCTCAGTCAGAGAGGCTTTCTGTCCTCCTCTCCTTTTCAGCTTGAAGACAGGAACAGAATCCAGCTTCCAAGACATTACAATTTTATAATTGAGATGATGGATAAAGTTAAAAAGAACAATTTTACATAACAGTTTAAGAATGACAGACTTGGGGTACTCTTTGCAGGAGATCTTGAGAGACTCCGACGATACTGGATGACGGGAACATGTAAGCCTGGGAAGCAGGAGCACAAGTCGAGTGACCCTCTGGCCCTTGAGCAGTTCTTGTCTGCCTTTCTACTGCTTATGTCAGGCATACTGTTGGCTGCAGTTCTTTTAGCTCTGGAGCATGTGTACTTCAAGTACGTACGGAAGCATCTGGCCAAGACGGACCGTGGTGGGTGCTGTGCTCTCATTAGTCTTGTGAGTATAAACAGCTGAACATTGACATCTTGTGTGTTTGTATTTTTCTTTGTGTAATGATGACCTATCAACTTCATATTTTATATAGCATCTAATGACATTATTATGTTGATTGGGAATTAACTATACATGGACTATTTTAATATGATTTGTATACTGCTGTATTAAGGGACCGAGAAATAACTTGAATCGTAATCAGAACTGCCAATTTTTGGACCAAAATTTATTCATAATATCTCTCAAGTAAAATATTTTATTAAATTTATTTAATTGTTTAATGTATAAATGGCAGTGATTCAAACTTTCTGCAGCTGTATGGCAACATTTGATTTTTGATCAATAATTAAGTTATTTGAGGGTGCTGCATTAAGGGCAGTTTATATGAAGCTTCAAATGCTTCACTGTAATGCCAGTATGGTCTGTACCTTTTCCATATGATCATCTGTTTGGATATTGTAACAATAATAAATTCAGATAATCAGGTGATCTGTATACAGATCTGTGTTCTGTTCTTGACAGTGTGGCTACAAATGCTGTGTCTGAACACAGTCGATAAAATGAAACATCTGTGAAATTTCATTCAAAATAATGTGTTTGTTTCTGTGACACAATTATGTTTGGATGCTTGCAGTTTCTGGTATTTGATACTCACATAAGTCAGGTTTTCTTATCTCTAAAGATGATACCAAGTATTTCATGTTTTCATTTTAAACAAGATTTGTCACCAATGTAAAGTGAGGGTAATTGTGTCCACAATATGGACCAAAACAAAATTCACTTACTGACTCTTAATGTGAGCAACCAATGCTACATTCCACCAAAATTCATAAAGGTATTTTGGCAGTAAAAGATGCAGTGGGCAGGCATATTCAGTTTCATAATCTTTTATGGTTGCATTTAGTACATATTCACTGGGCTTAGCTTGATGTCCTAAAGATTTTTATCATTTATAAACACTATTAATAAACACTTAACCATTAATAAAATTAATAAGACAGAGAGTGTGAAGTTTATAGAATTCAGAAAAGAATTTACACAATTAATGGTTATTTTATTAATGAATTAATGTGTAACGATTGATTTCAGAGTATGGGTAAATCATTAACATTCCGTGGAGCAGTATTTGAGGCTCAGGACATTTTGAGGCATCATCGTTGTCAAGACCCTTTATGTGATACTCATCTGTGGAAAGTGAAACATGAGTTGGACATTGCACGTATAAAAATTCAACAGCTGCAGAAAGAACTGGAGGCACACGGAATTAAACAAAGCAGGAGGTAAGTCATGAAAAGCGACAACATTTAGTATATTTTTTAATTCATATATATTAGCAAATATTTATTCATTAATCATTATTTAGCAGTGTGCTACAACTATGAATTTTCAAGTATGCAAACAATTTAACATGCATATAGCCTATTTCATATTTCTCCACATACATTTCTTATTTTTGTAGAATGTATGAGAAAGAATTATAAAATTAAATAGTCTTAATATTTGTACTTTTGCAGTATATCGGTGTTTAGAAACTTAATATCGCATGAGAGGCCTAAATTATCTCCCAGTTCTTTTTTAAATGTCAGTAGTAAGAGGTTATGAAATGCTTTGGGGCAAAAGTAACAAAGATTGTAATTGTAACTACACCCAATTTTTAAAATGTGAAGCAGAGAATTATTATTTTCTGAATGCTATTTAGAAATAGCATATTTTTACAAATTATTGTTAGTATTTTCTGACTGCAGCGTACGTTAAACTAGCATAACAAGATCCAAATAGCATGTTCACTAAATACACTTGAACAAACATATTGTACTGAAACTATAACTATATGTTACAAACTTCAGCAAAACTTGTGCCCAGAATTTCTTTTGTAAGTAACAAATACTTAAATTTACTCCGAGAGGTTTTATACAATAGATTTTCCCTTTAACTTGTGTAATCCAGTAACCATTTAAAATTCTGATAATACCTCTCTCGATTGCATGTATTTCTGCAGATTTACAGGTACTTTAACACAGTGGCAGAAGTTACACATGTAAAATTTTCATATCAGAAATTATTTTATATATGAAAACCATTATTTCTTCATGGTAATGAATGTTGATGCTTTTTTTTTGTAATTTCTCAGTCAATCTAGAAATTTATTGAAGAATATACAATGCATTGTTTTCACACTCCATTATGCCTTCACAATATTCAGCTTACTATGAGTTCACTTTATCTTTACATGAAGTGTTCAGATTTATAATATGCTGCCTTGCTGTTCTGGAGAATTTATGGGATCCATAGCCATTGGACTGTACTAAACAAAATTCATTTCAGGTATATGTGTGCTCTTATCTGTTACTTTATTTACCCCTTGAAGATTTTCAATTATTCCCTGCCTGCCTTTGCATTTACATTTAAATGGCAGCAAGTCTTCAACACCTCAGAGATGTGTTATGGCTCGTTTTGACAGAGTGGCCATACACGTCTTGAAGATGGTGCTGATTAATAGTGTGCAAAATTTTTGGACTTCAATTTAGTAATCTGTGTTGCCTGATAAAATTTTATATTATCTTTTAAATATATCCACATTCCCTTTCTTAAATGAATTACTTCTTGATTTGTATCAAAATGCGTTGTGTGACAATAAATAACTTTGCAAAGCTTAAGTCATATTCAGCTATATGTGTTGAATATAGAATCTCATAATGTGCAACTTCCATGTGGAGAACATATAACAGTTTCAATCTTGTGTCTTCCTAAACAGTTAAAGTACTGAAGAGGTATACTAGTAAAATAAACAAAAGCATTTTGATAATATTAAATTATGGCTAAATTAATATTACAGAATTTGAACATCAGTATTACTGTAGCCATTATCATTAGTGTATTAATACAAAAATATAATTCATTTTCATTTTTGTTGTAACATGTTGTTTTAGTTATTTTTATTTAGCATCACATCCTTCTTGTGATTTGACATGGGGAGGGGGGACAAATGTTTTTTATCACCAAATATTTTTCTTTAAATTAATATTTCTGGAACTAATACAAATATTTATCTATTTGTGACACTACATATACAAAGTTACATTCATCCTAAATGTTTTAAACAAGATGTTACACCTTGGGGACAACACAGTATGATGTATGCCATTTGATTACTATATTTAATTTTGGCATGGCGATGAAAGATTTTGACTAACAACATATGAAACTTTGTACTTAATTTATGGTCTTCATCCCAATGCCACATACACTGTTTCATACACAACAAATATTTCCTTTATATGAATACACTGTCAAATGATATACCACAATTCACCTGGCTATATACTTCTGCATTACATGTTTATATAGATGCTTCAGTTGAGCTCCATAATACCTTACTCTGATCCTCAGTATGACTATATAAATCTGTTTATAGTTATGCAAGCTTAATTAGTATACATTTCTATGCTAGCATGCTTTGTAATTTACAGTATCTTCTTAATTATTTTCCTAATCTTCATTTTTCCAACAATGTCTTTGCTTGCTGATTATTTACACTATAAAATCAAGCATGGAGTCATACTATCCAATAGGTGTGCAAATTTCCATGACCTCTTGAAAAAATGTAATATTTACAGATGAATAATGATAATGAATATATACCATGAAGATGGCACTCTGTAGAGGTTGTCTGTGTTGCCAACAATTTGAGGTTCTCATTTGCTCTAATGTGAAAGTGAATTGACTGCCAGTGGAACATAACCTGTAGACCTGTACTGTAAGTATTGGAACTATCACTACAGGAGGGAATGGCTCTCCTCACAGACAGTGGACATACAGTCAGATTCTACATAGTGCCATCACCCAGAAACAGGACTCATACAAGAATCATGTAACTGTTACAAGTTATGAGAGTGACTGAACTTTTAAGAATTATTCATGGCCTAAATGAATTTACACATTACATGGAAATTGACCATATGTCAGTTTTGTACACCTAAAAGAATGTCAAATCGTTCAGGGTTTTAGGTTGCACCATATATGTATGCTTCCACAAGTAAGATGACAGAAGCTTGAAATTTAATACCCTCCATACTATTGAGGGTATTAAAATTCAAAGTGCCACTGCAATGAATACTAGGAACAAATATGAATGTTAATATTCTTGGAAATATTATATAGCATGTGTAATTTCACTGTTAAATGGTGTTTCTCCAAATTCAAGAATAACGTAACGTGATTTAAAATATAATTTGAGCAGGACAATCTATGTTTACGAAACACATTTAAACAACGTTTTCAACAGTCAAGTAGAATAAATTTTGTACGCAATTGGCGTGGCTAATTGCGCTAACATTCTGCCATCTCGTGAATTTTAACTTCCGTCAGAATGGCATTTACATTATATAAAGAGTTTAAATCAGATCGCTTGGATATATTACCTTCGACATAACTTCGGACAAAATTTCATCTGTTCCGGTCCAGTCATGTAATTGAAATTCTACGGACGGGCAAGACATCTGAAGGAGGCGCATTCTGTGCATGAGTGGCTAATTGCAACTTCGGAATTCTGTCAGAGTGGTGTTAAATATTATAAAGAGTTAAGAACTGTGAGTTTCAGAACTTTCCTATGGTATGGTGTCTGTATATAATTTTACGAATTTCCGTCAAGCCATTCTCTGGTTAAAAATTCGTACTATTGGACATCAGTTTGAAGGGGGCAGATTTAGTTGACTTATGTTATGTTAGGTTTTGTTAACGACACAGTAGATCTTGCTCAATGGGATCGTCATTTTAATTCCCGGCTTTAAGCAACTGTGTCAATGGCTTTACTGAGTGCAGATAATTATAAAATAATTATGACCTTACAATATTTACCAATGACAAAAATATTTAACCATTTCATCACTTCTATTAACCCTGGAATTAAAGTCGATGTGGCATCCCCCATATTTTATATGCCCTATTTTTACATGTTGAAGGTTAATATTGTGGTACTTGAATATGTTGTTGAGAGTAGCTTCAAATTATTGCACCTTTGCTGTATTCTTATAAAATAATGGCTTGAATTATACTTAATATTTTGCACTGTTTTTATGCATCTTATTTCTTGTATTTTAATGCATATGGTTCATGAAAGAAGGCAGCACTAGACCTGTTGCAAGAATTTGCTTGCTAATATTTCACATGGCTCTGTAGCTGACCCTCACATTTAAACTGTTGCACCTAAGCAACATAAAGCCAACATGGAACTGCTCTTCGAAATTATTTATTGTGGTCTTTCACTTAAATGATTACACATGAACTACAATTATATATTTTCCATATACAGAATTCCATAGCTGAGCTTTGTGCTCTTTGGATTATTTTGAGTCGAAAAGTTCAAATAAACATGGGTCTGATCTACAACGATGTCGAGAAAAATTGCATTTTCAATTACCTACGTTACTTATGCGACTCGAAATGGCCACCCTGATTGTCGATTCACAGTTGAGTCCTGTGTGTGATTGAAATAACAGCGCTCTTCACAGAGTCATGATCATATTTGATGTTAGCACTGGACTCGATTCAACAGTTCAGCTGTACTGTTTGACTTGATGGCATACACCAGGGATTTTATGTGGCCCCAGAGAAAGTAGTTCAAAGGCAAAAGATCTGGTGATCTCACTGGCCAAGAGACTGTACCACCTTGTCCAACCCAACAGTCAGGAAACTGTTGATTCATAAATGCAGTCACCTGTCTACCAAAATGAGGAAGTGTGCCATCTTGCTGCAGCCACATCTCATGCATTGTTAGCAGAGGAACATCTTCCAACATCATATGTGGCCCCAGAGAAAGTAGTTCAAAGGCAAAAGATCTGGTGATCTCACTGGCCAAGAGACTGTACCACCTTGTCCAACCCAACAGTCAGGAAACTGTTGATTCATAAATGCAGTCACCTGTCTACCAAAATGAGGAAGTGTGCCATCTTGCTGCAGCCACATCTCATGCATTGTTAGCAGAGGAACATCTTCCAACATCAATGGCAACTGTTATATGGGAAACACAAGTAAGGCTGAGATTTCAAGCAGTCTTCAAGTACTTGCTTACGTGCACCAACCATGCAGCTTTGTGAATTAATTTCTCAAACAGTCAATGCATAGTGAGTGCGGAGCATTTTCTTGACAAACCGTTGCAGATCAGACCCACGTTTATTTGAACTTTTCAACTGAAAATGAATCCAAGAGCACCTAGTTAAGCTATGGACATCCAGTTGCTGGTCACACTGCATAAGATGAAACCAAATTGCATCTGTTAAAAGCACCGAGATGATGATAAAAGATATTAAGCAAAATTGTAATTCAGAATTATCATGCATTTAATTGAAAAGAATAATATAATAATAATGGTGGCTGTAAATGTGATATGCCAAAAGCACAATTTGTGTTTGAAATTAACTTTTGAAAGGAAACTAAATAATACTAGATATTCTGTATAAAACAGTTACCATATGTTACTGTTGATTTGAATATGCGGTTAAGAATTGAGAAGTGAACATTTATATTTGTAAAGTACAACTTACAGTTGATATTTCAATACAATATGGGAAATGTTTACAAAATCCTGAAATATAAATTTTAAATTGATAAACACATATTGTTGGAGAGCGGCTTCATTGTGTGGTGGGTGGGTGAATGATTGCTACTCTTGTCTGTGCGTGCTCTTGTGCCTGCTGCCTGCTGTGTCACACAGGAAGAAGAAGAAACACGTCCCATCCTGCTGGGTCACCTGCTTCACACAGAGCGAGCCTGCAGGACAGCAGGCGCCCCAGTAAGTGCACCATAGCACTCCACCCAACTCTTAGCATGATAATGGCCAATTATTTGGAATTCATTCACATTAAAGAAATTTTGTGTCACTGCAGATTCCTTTACTTCACTTTTGATTTAGTAGCACTGAAATTATTTTTTCTTTCAGATATGTTTCAATTTTACATACATTGCAACTAATAACCATTCATTTGCTCCAGAAATTTCACATGTTTTATGGTATCAGAAGGTTCTTTTCAATGTTTGCAAGAACTCACCAGTGGATGCTGTCCTGAGCCGATTGAATCTAGTTTACACTCACACAGTATTTGGCCTACTTTAAGACCCAGTTTAATATTCCCTTCTCATCTGTGCCTGGGAAAAACTGTATATGAATTCCCAGTCTGAATAACTGAAAATAAATTGGTCTCACATGTGCTTTTGAATTTCTTGTGGGAAATATCAGAGGTTATAGAACAGGCTGTTGCAAGTAATCATATTTTCCCTTTACCACTGCAAAAAATGTTTCAAATTGAAATTACTTTTCTAAGTGGTATATGATAAACCAAACATATTTGATTACAACTGACAAAATCTAAGAGATGCAGTTGGGAATATAATATTAACATTTTAATAAATGGTACACAAAGTTGTGCACTTGATCATATTTTATTTCTTAGAATTTGTCAAAGTACCTTTCCTCTGGATTATTTATAATATTAATTTTAAACACAGCTACATGGCTTTAAAACACAGTATGATGTTACAAATCCGATACTTCTGCCATGCCAACCAAATAATTAAGGCCACTACTTTTAATACAATTTCCATTGTTGATACATTCTGAATTGGTTGTTGTTAGAGATTGTGGAAAGGAAAATAGTTACAAACTCTAACAGTATTTGGGTATTTTCGATTATGTGCTATGTCAGTTTACATTACCATTCTGAAAGAGCTAATGATAGAAGAAGAATTTTGTTTCATAATAAGACTGAATTCCAAATAAATATAACTCAGCTCTCTTCACAAGTTTTACAAAAAAGTGTTATACATGACAACAGTGCTTATTGCTATTACTTTGAATGTGGGAATTCCTAGTTAACAAGCACTGCATGAATTCTATGTATGTTGATTAATTAGAAGTTTGTTGCTATTTGCGTATGATTGTGATTTCTTCTTTACTCTACATGATACATGACATGTATAGTCAATTCAGGATGTATGACAGATTCTGATCTAAACATTATGCCACTCAGAATGAGAGGAACAAAGAGTTTGTAATAATGTAGTGTCATACCATCTAGTTATTGTTATATTTGATTGTTTTTTTGTATTTTATAATAAATGTGAATTACTAATGTAAACTTAATATACTAGGGTCTTCATCTGATATTAACTTAAAATTGATTACTGTTTATCTTTGCCATTATAGTACATATTTGAACTACCAGGGTTAAATTCCTAGCATGACATGATTTCTTTCTTCATCATAACATCCAGATGAACTCTGAGGCCTGCCCAACCTTATGTCCAATGGGTTCTGGGGTTCTTTCTGTAGAGATTAATCAGCTGGGCATTGTTTACTACTGATAACAACACAGAATTGCATCTAACCACTCATCTCCATCTACTGATTAGGTTAACAATGTGTAGAACTCTTCCTTGACTCCCCCAAACATTCTGCTAAGTTAAATCACTAGGGAGAACTTCATCTTTATTTTACCTTTCCATCCAGATCATGAAGGTTATAAATTTATTTTGTGATCTTTGGCTAATGTTAAGTTCATATTTATCTACTATTTAGCTCTGATGATTATGGGATATTCCTCGTTCTTAATACTTATGTAATAAATACTCATTTCATCATCATCATCATCCATTGTTGTTTCCAGCCTGGGGTCGGGCCCACTTGGTAAAGCCCCTCCATCTCTTCCTGTCCCTTCACCACTCCTCTTCTTTCACCAGCTGCCACTGGGCACCTCTCTCCACCACTCCTCATTTATTAATTCTTAATTTATGAAAGGCTTTTCATTTTGTACATTTTCTGACATACAGAGACCCAAGAATTGATTTATACCACTGCAGTTTTATATGCATAAAAACAGGCTGAAATATAATTAAATACAGGTAACCCTCGATTTACGCTGGTTCAGAACAACGCCGCTTTTGAAACAAGCAAGTCAAAAAGTGGAAAAATATATTTTACTATTATTTATAACGTTTTACAATGTTTCTCGTACTGATTCTTTTACTAAATCCGTTTTCAAAAACTTCACCACATTTGTAGCAGAGATGCAGTGTATTTTCTTTGTGGTGGGAAGCAATTTTTTAAAATTATGTTCACCCTTATCCTCTTATTCTGGTCATAAAGTTAGGTGGATAAATGACTGGTTTTGTCCCCAACATTTTAACTGTTAGTAAATAGTCCCTTTTATATTTGCCCAGTTAGTTGGTAGTGAAGAAGTCTTTGTGAGTGCCCAGTATGCTTCATATGATTTAGGCAGTTTAGTTTATACTGTACAGTACTTTTTTCAGTGGTCAATGATGAGTTCCTCTATAGTAACTCCATTCTTTTGTGGTCTGTTAAATTGTGTCCTGCTGTACATCTCATGAATTTCATCTGTGCTGTTAATCTACTAATCTCCATATTTCACGGCCATACAAAAGTGATGGGATGGTTATAATTTTACATAATTTGAGACTGCCTCTGAACTGAACTTTGTTCCATAATGTTATTGCACATAATTCCAAAAATTTGTAAAAATATACTCTTTTCTGAAATTATTACTCTTTTTATGAAATCATGCAAATATATTCACTTATTCCAGTACAGAATTATCTATTACAATTTTGCTTCTCATTATAATGTTTCCTTCAAATGCCATTGCTTCAGATATTAGTTGAGATTTTTTTATTCCAGACTATCTTGTAAAATATGTAACATTCTCTTTGAATCATCTTCTGAATTTCATAATCTGTTTACAATAGTGTATTAATAATTGTCAATTTATTCTGGTTCCAAAAAAGGATAATTTTGAAGATGGCCATCTGCATGGATACAGCACTTTGTATTCTGGTAGACATAAACCAGTGTTTCAGCAGTGCCTCTATTATCAGCTTTCATAAATTTGATTGCAAGACTTGTATTGTTCCACACATTAGAGTGACATTCGCTTTCAAATGAATGGTTTACTAATACATACTTGTGTTTACTCATAATTTCAATTATAGTAATACATTTACAGAACTATATAGGCCAAAATGTACATAATTCAGATGCTGTGCAATGTGTTGACATCCCATCAGTGGCTATCCCTTGTGTTTAGTTGCCAGTAGGGTGCATGTCTTGTGTAATATTATTTCGGCTTGATATGTCATGTGCATGTTTTGTGTCAATGCATAGACTTCCAGGTTGGTGAGAATATAACTTGTTATAACAATCAGATTATGTTCTAGATACTATTACCTATTTTCAGACCTTCATAATTTTAATTTTCAAGGTATATTTTTTCCCATTGGTTTAATTTAACTTAGATTTTTATTAGGATAAATTGCTCAGCGACAAAGATTCATTACTTTAACTTGGTTTAGCATGTTTATTATTCATTTTTATGTCCCATTGGCAGATTTCTGAATGCAGATGATGTCCTGAAACCACGTGATATGACAAGAAATCATGTGTCCTCTACTGAATTCACTGGCCGATTTCATGATGATCGCCCAATATACAGGTAAAATGCCATGTGATATGTGATCCTCCATTTGACTACATATAATAACTCTTCGATCCAAGTTAAATGCTATGAGGTGCTAGCTCTTACAGTTTTACAGTAAAAGAGCATGATTCCGGTCCATCAATATCCTTATAAAAGAACCTTAATTTTAAAAAGCATCCCTAGAATCTTCTTTCGCATATCTTTCAATATATTTATATAAAGGAACATTGCTATTATATTAGAGACAGTTTTCATATGGCCATTTTTACCATTATAGCTCACAGAATTCATGAAAGCCTAGAATCAGTTATAACATTACCATTGACACTGCTGCCAACAGAAATATTAATAATATTGCTTCAGATACTGTTACACATTTTTATAACAAATTTATAACACATTGGTAGAGGTCTGTTAACTTATTAATGTAGTTTTGTATATTCAACACATGAGCCGGGATAGCTCAGTCAATATAGTGACTAGCTATGGGCTGGATGACCGGGGTTCGATCCCTGACGAGGGCAGAGGATTTTCCCTCTAGCCTCTGCGTCCAGACCGGCTCTGGGGCCCACCCAGCCTCCTCTACAATGGGTACTGGGGTCCTTTCCCGGGGGTAAACCCGGCCGGGGCGTGATGCTGACCACTCACCCCCATCTAGTGCCGAGGTCAAGAAAGAGAGGAGCTATACCTCCACTCACCCCAAGCGCCTGTACAGCACATAGCGGGACAAACTTTACTTTACTTTACTTATATATTCAACACTTAAGACAGTTATGAAAAGTGCAGTGTTCATTCTTGACTTCACCAAGTCAGTATTTAAGTATGCATAGAAATGTTGGAAATTTACTCCAGGTCTTTACGTAAAAGTCTCTGTTATTCTCATGAATGAAGAAATATTTATAATTCATGATACAAATTATTTTATTCAAGGAAATATAATTCCTTGATAGACTCTGGTAGCCTTCATCCTGCAGTGTCCCCAGCATGATTGTTATTTGGCATGTGGTCTATATAAGTTATGTTTCTGGAGTAATTCATAACTTTGCATGTTGATCAAGGAATGAAATGTTGTAGGATTTGAGGATTTCACAGCGGTGAATATGAAGATTCTGTCTTCTGGGTTGTTGCGCTGTGTAGTCTGGTCGATGTTTACCAACGTTTCAGAGGTCATACTGCCTCCGTTATCAGGGCGATGATTCATCATCATAGAAGCTTAGTTTTGTGTGTGGGGGGTAATTTTGGCTCATAATGGTAAAAATAGAAAGATAATTGATTTTAAAAGGAAAGGTAATTTGTTCTATTTTACATGTGAAATTAGGAACATTTTCAGACCACCACATTTTAAATACATATAAACATTTGAAGTTAGATACTGAAGTCAATTACTTTAAGCTCTACCCTCAAAGATATAAGTTCGCAGGATCACTTTCAAAGTTTATATCCTGGAATATCAGCAGTACTTTATCCTTATGTATTGTTGGTAATGTACTACCATATATTTAAATACACTGCATCAATTCATTATTGTTATCTGTATGCTGCTGTATTGCAGGTCAAGCATTACAGAAATAGCAGAGATGGAGACAGTTCTGTGATGGTGGCACTTCTGGATACCTCTCAGTATATATATAAAAACATGGAGTAACAAGATCTGTACTGAAGTGGACAGTCATATATAAAATGAAGTTACAGATGTGTTTAGATATATCATGTTTTGTGGAATGAGAAGGACAGGATGTGAGAGCAACACTCCTGCTGGGAAGGTTCAAGATTATTTCAGCACACTTTTAGAGAATAAATGTGAAGACACCAAACACAATATTTAATACATTACAAAACTGTCAAAGAAAATGTATTTTTATTTTTGTGTTAATTAGTTGGTGCAGGGAAAAAAATCATGTATGGACGAGGTGATCATTGCCTGGTTCCTTAAGTGTTTATCTAGATGCCAAATAGATGTAAAAAATCATGAACAAGAATGCATATTAGCATGATCTGTATTTAACAGTTGCATGTAAAACACTGAGACTTTTATGGGATCCCGAAAGTGCTCAAGAAATCAAAATGGTGCTACCCATGATATACACAAAACTTGAATAAAAACAAGAAATATTCTATACGAAAGCCAAAGGAAATAATAGAAATGCCATAGACATTCATATATATAAAAGTGATGATAGAATATTGTATAGAAAAGAGTGTCAACTATATTGTCGTTATTTATTGTTGATGTTCTAATTGTTGATGTTTGGGCTCTCGTGTCATTCATGTAGATTGCATGTAGCCATTCTGAGAAAGCACTCAGTTAAGACATGGTTATGTCTGAGTACGTCCTGTTTATATATTTCAGATGCAGTTCAATGTATACCTCTTTATTAATCAGCAGGTTTTCTGTAAGAAACTGAAATGCAGCTCAACGATTTACAAGAATTAGGAAGAAAGATTTTTATTTCTTCCTCATGCTTCTAGTTGAAATCTCCTTACCTTCGTGCCATTGGTCATTCCATAAGAAGTGAAGGAATACATTTATAATATTTGGATGGCCTGTATCACTGATTTTGTTAAAATTAATAAATATACCTTCTTCATTTTCATAATAGGGGTTGAATTATAATTAATGTTTCTTTCCTTACAGAAGTTATTTTGGGGGATGCTTTCATAGCACCACAAGAAAGTCATATCTTTTATGGAACCCTTTAGTTTCAGTACTTTATTCAGAACAGCCTGCTACTGGACCCTATCCTGAGCCAGACGAATCTAGTCTATATCCTCCCACTCCATTTCTTTAAAATTCAGTTGAATATTATAATTCTCTTTATTGTGACCAGATTTCTCAACTGATCTTTTCCATTCAGGTATTCTGATTAAAAATGTGTATCCACTTCTCACTTCACCTGTGCATTCTATATGTGCCACCCAACTAATGAATTTGATTTGATCATTTAATTTTGTGCACTCTTTACAATTTAAATTCCTGTTGAATATGAAACAAATTTGAGACTCACAGCAGTTTTATAACATTAATTAAGCTAAAAAAAATGTGATGTGCTCAAATTTCAAACAAGAAGACGTGATACCTACATCCATGACACGAGATTTTAACCTTTCTGCAACCATATTATTGTGATATAACAACACACAGCAAAAGTTTCCTTACCATAAAGCAAAATACCAGGCACATTAATTTTGTTATTGTGTATTTACATACATCTAGTTCTTATCTAGAAAAATCTCTATGAAAACTATAGCAGAAATTGAATCAAACAACAGTCTCTTAGTTAAATTTATAAAACATTTCTGTACTTGGTTTTTTTTTTAAATTTCAAATCACCCTACACACTACCCATCACAGGGTGTGTAGTTCAAGTTCATGTTAACAGTTTTAGTAAGAATGTAAGTAAATATGGCTTTGTATGTGCATCACAGAGAGCTGTCAAGTAAAAATATTAGTTTGGTGCTGTTTCACATGCTCAGACTTTACTGGGCTCTATCCATTAATATTTTCTTTTTCCATTGCCCTTTTACTCTTCTCCTTGAATATTATGGTTATTTTGGACCCAATGTCACTCTTACAAGAGGAGCATGTCTATGTAATTTAACTGTGCTTTATCAGACTGGATTAACCTACCTAATCCATTGGACTTACCCTTAAATAGCTTGCTCCTTGTCCTGGAGTGTCCATTTAAATGGCAGGGTTAGAAAAGGTAGCACAAGGAAACATATAATCTTTGATCATGACGTAGAGCTTAATATTAGGCTGCAGTGGATTACAATAAAATTGTGAAAAATGAAGTTTGAATAAGATGTTTATACATTGCACTGATATTAATTTATATAAATGAAGTTGTAAGGTATACCTATACGATTTAGAAGATGGCTGTATTCTGGAATGTTTAGGCACGTAGTCTTGTAGAAGTATACTGACATTTCAGAGATGCTTGCTGTCTCCATCATCAGGGCAAAAGTCAGTAAACTTCTGTCAAACTAAATGATGCAACATTCCAGAAGACAATCATCTTCAAACTTGCCACCATAAGAAAGTGAAATCTCACTCAGTTTACAATTTGTTGAAATGTTTAGTATTATTGTAGGATTGACTGTGCCTAATATTTTCCTTTATACTGGTATTTTACTTTCATTGTTTGGAGATCCTTAAGTCCAGTGTTTGCCTTCCATGTTGTTTTCAATATTGGGCAACCACCCTCTCCCATTTTTGTCTTTCAGAGTCTGCAAAAACCATGATAAAATCAGAGGTTGATGAAATGTGTACACCCACACAATGCCACAGTTATCAAATTAGTCTTCAAATTAAAAGGAAATGAACAATATATTTCTTGTTTGTATCATAATTATATACTTATGAAATATGAATTACTCAGATGATAATATTGTCTATGTAAGTGATTTCTCTAATGGTTGTTATTTATGAAAACATGAAAAAAGAAACACATTCATGTTGTTGTAGCCAATAGATTATTTGAGAGAAAAAAAACAATGACACATTAGTATTGTATATAACATAAGCATGACTATTTGAAGTTATGAAATGATGATATTTATATATGTAACAACATATATTTTTGGTGAGTATAAGATCCATTGTACAAAGAGTCTTTACAAACTTTTATGTGCATTTTTTCCATTTACATTAGAGGCCTACTGCAATGAAAACTAATTTACATTCTGTGAAACATTTAAGTTATTCCTGTCATTAATATTCACATTCCTAATGTATAATATACTTTTTATAGTAAGGGAAATATCAGAGTAGGTATAAAACATAAAATTTATTTACAAACTGTTGTAATATATTAACATAACCATTTATTAAAAATCCCTGGTGATGTTAATAATAACTTAATAACTAACGGTTAATTCCATGATTTACAGTAACAGTAACTGGAGGCCACACTGGCAGCTGCTTTTAGAGTGTGATGAAAGCATTTTTTACATTAATGTATAATATCTGTATTGTGTTTGTGGTGACAAATGATATTTCCTTTGTTTATTCTCTACTATTTATGTTGAAAATGTTTAAAGTCAACTGTTGTCTTCTTAGGAAGACACTATAAATAAAAATAACATGTAAATACATTTTAAAATTTCAGTAAATACTGTGAGGTTCTTTTCAAAATTATGTTGCAAATATTCCTGATATCTGTAAAAAAAACTGCAGACCAAATGCATAATGAAAGGAAATTTGTAATGATAAAACTGAAACATTAGCTTAATAACAACAATAATAATCATTATGTGATCTAAACGTTGCTACTAAACAAAAGTAGAATTAAATATTATAGTACTCACACATTAATGGTTCTTTTTATTTTATTATAACCTATAAACTTTAAAATTATGGCTTAATTTGAACAAAACAATACATTACTAACTTAGGAAACATGGCATATACGGTTGTGTACAAATTTTAAACATACAGTGTGTCCGTAAAATAATGGTGGGGTAACAAACAGTCATAGTTTTGGAACAAAGCACAAGTGAGACATGAAATCGACGTCAAAATGAAGAGAAACTCTTCAATTTTTCGATACGTAAACAGGTTCTAGCGCAAGCGCATGCGCGCTGTGTTACAAGGTCAATAGCCGCGAGAAGCCATGATTACGATGCAGAGTAAGGTTAAATGTGTTTTGTGGCTTGCTAAGTTTGAGTCAGTTACACTTGTTAGGCGTGAATACCGTCGTGTGTTTGATGAAGAACTACCACACGAAAATAACATTCGCCGTTGGGACAAACAACTCAGAGAAACGGACAGCCTACTGAAGCAGTAACGTCCAGGACGACCTTCAGTGTCTGACGATACCATTGAAGCTGTGCGAGCAAGTTATCTGCGTAGCCCGAAGAAATCAGTGCGGAAGTGTTCTGTAGAGTTTGGCGTTTCAAAAACAACTGTTCACAACGTTTTAAAGAAACGACTACGCTGAACAAACTGTGATGGGAAAGAACTTCCTGGATATGTTAGAAGGGTATGCAGTGCCCCAAATACCGGAGAATTTTATTCTCCAGTTAGATGGAGCTCCTCCACATTTTGCCACATTCGTGCGGGATTACCTAAACCAAACATTTCCTCAGCGATGGGTCGGACGAGGAGGGTGAATAGCCTGGCCTCCACGCTCTCCAGATCTTACCCCTATGGATTTTTATTTGTGGGGTTATGTGAAGCAACAAGTGTTCTCTGTCCAAATAATAAATTTAGTCCATTTAAAAGAACGGATCACTGAAGCTGTTTCATCTCTCACACCGGGATGTTCTCGGTCGTGTATGGCAAGAGCTTGAATATCGTCTTGATGTCTGCAGGGCAACTAAACGAGCGCATATCGAAATCTACTGAACAGGTAAGATTCTTGGAGAGTTTCTCCTTATTTTGATGTTTATTTCATGTCTCTATCGTGCTTTGTTCCAAAACTATGACTATTTGTTACCCCACCATTATTTTACGGACACGCTGTACATTAAGCAGAATCACATATGTTGATAAATGTGATGAATTCTGGATATCATATTGTTACGACCTGTTTCCTTTAATTTTCACCTTCACAGAGACAGAAGCTCTTCAGTGTCATTAAACATATGTCAATTTTGGTGCCCATAAAGACATATGTTTACAGTCACTGTGACATATTGTTGAAGTTTCTCATATAAACTGATATTCTTTCCCAGACAGCAACATTTGTGTCATTTTGAAGTATTGGTTCCAATAAACTGTTGACAGAATATTAATATAAAATATGATATAAATTCCAGCATAATTTTGAAATTATACTTGTAATATCAATGCAAGTAGGTTTGTTTCTTTCAAAATAAAATAATCACTGTAGTCATTGCTCAGGTAACTACATTTTTCATCAAAATATGTCTTGATGTGCACATACACAAACATACACACAAATAAGACTATAAGATTTGAAAGTAGTCTGTATGTATGTACTTGCCACTTATTGTTAATGAGTTCCATGACACTGCTAATCTCTTCTTGTCACTAACTGATATAATAACAGCCAAGATGTTGGTTGCTACCACGTTGTATGTGCCTCTATCTCTCATATGATGGGAATGCAGGAATTGATTATGTTGTTCTGTGTGAATAGCTTGCAATGGGCTGACCCCTATCCTAAGATTCCTGTCAAACTCAATTGTCGAAAAAGCGCACAAAACCAAAAAAATTTGAAAAATATCACATTAATTTTGTTTCAAAATTTTCCAAACTTTCTGGTTTTCTGCGCTTTTCAGACAATTTATAGCATTTTTTGATTTTTCGAAAATTTTGAATAATTTTTCTAAAATCTCCCCAAGAGATGATTGCCAAACTCGGTGAATACCTCTCCATGTCTCTGCCGGACTCACCCTCTATCTCACCCGGTTGCTGCCTGCCTCCGTGTCTGCACCAACCGGCTTCTGAAGGACTCGGCCTCTTCTGGTCAGGATCTCTGTCTTACGTGTTGTCTGCCGCACCTGGGCTCCTCAGAAACCTGTCCCTGCATAGACCGAGTCATGCACAGACCGCATTCGTCATACAGTACATCAGAAACAGTCCGACACAGACCGGTTCTGCAAGGCAACTGTTGCGATAATTTTGAAAATTTTCAAAATTTTCAAAAAATCAAAAAATGCTGAAGACAGGCAGAGACCGCTTTCGTCAGAGACACAGTACATCAGAAACAGTCCTGCAAGGCATGAGGTGGCGGAATTTTGAAAATTTTCAAAAAATTGAAAAATGCTGGATATTGTCCAAAAGGCGCACAAAATTGAAAAATTTCACATTAAAATTTTTTTCAGATTTTTTGGGTTTTGTGCGCTTTTCAGGCAATTTGCAGCATTTTTTGATTTTTCGAAGATTTTCAATTTTTTTTTCTAAACTCTCCAAAAGAGCAGCCTGCCAAACTCGGTGAATGCCTCTCTCTGTCTCTGCCGGTCTAGGACGCCATCACACCCGGTTGCTACCTGCCTCGGTGTCTGCACCATCCGGCTCCGCAAGAGTCGGTATCTGCTCGTCAGTCTGCCTTACCTGTCGACTGCCTCATCTGAGCTCAACAGAGCCGTGTTACACAGGGACCAATCCGTGCAGACACCGGGTCATGCACAGACCGCATTCGTCAGACAGTACATCAGAAACAGTCCGACACAGACCGGTTCTGCAAGGCAACTGTTGCGATAATTTTGAAAATTTTCAAAATTTTCAAAAAATCAAAAAATGCTGAAATCCAAAAATGCTGGAAATTGTCCAAAAAGCGCAAAAAACCATTTTTTTTAAGATTGCACATAAATTTTTTTCACAATTTCTTAAAAAAATTGGTTTTGTACGCTTTTCAGGCAAATTGCAGCATTTTTTGATATTTTTCAAAACTCTCACCAAGAGAAGCATGCCAACTTCGGCGAATGCCTCACCCCGTCTCTGCCGGATTCGGCCTCGGTTTCTGCACAACCGGCCTATGCAGGGCTCGATGTGTGGCCAACCGTGTCCCTGCCCGTCTCCGTATCTGTCTTACATGTTGCATCCCGCACCTCGGC